GCAGCAAAGTTTGTGCTTCATGAAACTGGACCCACGATAAATAGTCTATTAAGTAATAAACCAGCAATCCCCGTCTATGTTGTGGCTGTCAAACCCACGGTTCTATACTTCGCATGGGATTTGGTTTTCCGCATCCGGCGATCTGGGACGAGGGCTAACGTTAGATCCTGCTTCACCGAAGTTCACGGGACACGCACTGGTTGGTGGAAATCTCAACCAGCTCACTAGCGAGATGTCAGAGACTGCTTGACGTGTAATCATTAACGGCCGGAAATACGGGAGTGCCCGTCTCATCTATCAGCAGCGTTGGTGTGTGCTGCACGCCACATACGATTCGGCACCGCATCGCTGGGTCGAGAAAATGCAGTGGATACTCTGCTTCGGTCTGGACAGAAGAGATCATGATTCTGACTGTGTCAGCCATTGGATATAAAGCTAATGTTACATTGTGATGTGTTTTGCCAAAGCTGTCAAGCGCAAGCACTGGTTACCGCTTTGGGAGGTCTGAGGTATGGCATGCACATTCCTAAGCAACAAGGTGGAGAACTCTTTTCCTGGAATGCTCCAGGGGCCCATTCAAATTGGCCTCCGTCTGCTGCCAGTCGTTTGATCTAGGTTGGAAAAGAAAAAGAAGAATGGGTAGCGCGTCATTGACTACGGGGTGCGATTCCAGCATCACGAAGGCACATTAGCCATTTATGTCGAGAGAGCAACAGTGAATAGTCGTCGTATTCTGTCCCTCATCTTCATGTCTTAATTTGCTCTACTACCAGCACTCATCACTACTGTCATAGCGCGAGAAATGGCCCCAAGCAACGATGCCCACCACCTGGGACCGCCCAAGCCAGCAGGCCGGGTCCTCCTAATCACCTACCCCCGCACGGCCTCCAACCTGCTCGTCAAGATGATCTCCCTGTCCGACCAGCGCAATGTTGTCTCCAACGAGCGGGGCGGCTACTTCTTCTGGGACGCCTTCATGAACGCGCGCGACACGGTCTGCAGCCGCCGGCCCGGCGAGCAGTGGGACCCCTCCGAGACCGCGAACCTGCGGCACGCCTTCCAGCAGAACCTCGACCACATCGAAGCCACCTCGCAGGCCGCCCTCACCCAGGGCAAGGTCTTCTTCGCCAAGGAGCACACCCTCTGGCTGGCCGAACCGGCCGCGATGACCCAGTACCTGGCCACGGGTGGCCGCAGCCATCAGCCCTCGACGCGCCTGGGCGTGCAGGTGCCCAAATCATACCTCAAGGCCAGAGCCACCACCACCCCCAGCAGCAGCAACAGCAGCAACAGCGCAGCATTCTCCCCGGAGAACTTCACCATCCTCCCAGACGCCTACCTAGCCACGTGGCGCCCGACCTTCCTCATCCGCCACCCGGCCCTGGTGTTCCCTTCCTTCTACCGCGCGCTGCAAGGACTGGAGGAGGAGAGCTTCTGCGAGCCGCGCATGATCGAGCCGTTCCTGGAGCTGCACGCCACGCTGCGGTGGACGAGGTTGTTGTACGACTGGTATTGTGATCGCGGAGACGCCCGGCCTCCGCCGCTGCTGCTCGACGCGCAGGATGTCATCCATCACCCGGAGGTGGTCACTAAGTACTGCGAACGCATCGGCATGGACCCGGAGAAGGTCCGGCTCACCTGGCATCAGGCGGAGAGGCGGTCGGGGGAGCAAGAGGACCCCCGCGCCCGGGCCGAGGCGGTCATGCTCGCGACGCTGGATCGGTCGACCTCCTTGCTCAAGGATCGGACCCCCGCCTTTGTGGATGTCGGGGCTGAGAGGGTGAAGTGGGACGACGAGTTTGGGAGTCGGGTGGCGCAGCAGATGGGGAGGTGGGTTGACGATGCTATGCCGGATTATGAGTATCTGTGGCGGAGGAGGTTGCGGGTGGATTGATGCCAGCATGGGTTCTAGTTGTTGCAGGGAAGGTGGTGCAAGCCTTTTATCAGATGCAAAATCAATCTGCTTTGTCAAGGTCTCTCTTTGAAATCAGGATCGATAGATTCGCTTGAGGCTGGGATGTGGTATGTTCTGCTTGTGGCGGATCTCAACAAAACTTCAGCTGTCTCAGTTGGTCCCGGCTTTAGGGCTAGCTGTGGTTTGTTCTATAGACAACGCACCCCGATCTGATGGTCGCCGGTGTAGGTTAGAAACACTATGCATAGCAATGAACTGAGCTTTTATTGAGCTTTGTAGGAGTCAGTACATCAGATACGACAATGTTCACGGTGAAACACAAGCCAAAGTATTCAAATCATAACGCTTTCATTTGTCATTATCTGTTCCACTATCAATAAACATCATCCAATTGCTACAGTAAAGAGAGTGGCAAGAAGCCGAAACAAGCATTGAAGCTTCTCAAGCTCAGACGCCGCAGGTGGGCAGGCCGCTCTCTGGTGGCACAGTACGTTAGCACACTATCCTCTTTACAGACAACACCTGGGGTAAACGGGTCCTCGCAAAGGGTAAACATACTGCAACTGCTGGGGACATCACTTCCCCGCACCCACCAATTCTTGCCAGTCTTGTACCAGTCGCCGTTCCTGCGGAGCATCATCGTGTCAGTATAGGCAGGTTGGGATAGGTGTACTGGGTTGTAGAGTTGCAGCGTACCTCCACTTGCACCGGTAATCGACGTTAGTCTGTGCCTGATAGCTTCCGGTCTGGACCACAGGCCATTGGTAGTAGTTGATTTGCTTGCTTGACTTGCAGGACTTCCGGGCAGCGAGGTGGACGTCGATGTCGTCGGAGTCGACGTCGGCTTCTTCGGCGGAGGGTAGGGCCAGGGTCAGGGGCAGCAGTGCGGTCAGAAGGTAGATTGGGGACTTCATGGTGAAGGAGTAGGAGTTAGGATGTTTTGGTTCTGAGTAGAATGCTTTCTTGTGGTGATGATGATGCTGGTGTTGTGTGCTGAGTTCTTCTTTTCTTCTGAGGTTAGGGTTCGTCGAGAGTTTTATACCTCACTGAGGCGAAATCCATCACCGCTGATATCTTTAGATCTGGGTAGCCACCTCCCATGGCCTGAATTGCTCAGTCTAGATTCCCATCTAACCTGGGTTCTCAACGTCGGGTCTATTCGTATCCGCTTTTAGGCATCCGATCGTTCGTATCGAACCCAGTGATCCGGGTCTATGACACGGGAACACAGTCCTTGCTTCAACCCCATCACAAACCACCACGAGGCCAGCACTGCCTCCGAGGAGATACAGCTCGCAGAGCCCAAGTATGTGGAAGCAGAATGATCTATTGTGGCTGGCGACGGACTCTCATGGAATGAAATGTGGAATACGGGTATCCAAGAATAGCCCTATTTTGCACTATCTTCCGCGCCAGGTGTCATGCATCTGAATTTGAAGAAATGCGGAAACTACAAGCGCAGACAAGCTGCAATAATTGTAGCGCAACACTTGGAGATCGCTTACGACTTCTTCAAATCCTCGGAGAATATGATAGGCCCTTGAGGTGCAAAATGCATGACTTGCCCGAGCTGCAAGACCTACCCTGAAAGGTGTCTGCTGCAGGATAATAATCCCAATTTCTGCATTCTTATTTTGTCCAAGAAAAGCGTCAAGCTCTACCTCTCTGTCTATGGTCTAAGGATAGACCAATTGACCTTCTTCAACTTGGTAACAGCATGTTCGAGTCTTGCAACCAACGTTGATCATAGACGATAGGACGGCGTTCGAAGAGCGCCTATCGTTTCGCGCTGCTACGAATCCCGAACTTAGGTACGGTTAGTTCGTGTTATCAGCTCCATACCCGTGTTATAAGGTCCCCGCATCGTCTCAAACCTAAATCGTTCCACCGTTGGGGACGAACGTCTGGTCCCAGCCAAGACAAGACGCCAAGAAGTCCGCCCCGGATGCCCCGGATTCGGTCCAGTCTGGGGCGGTCCAGAATCTCTAGACCTCGAGCCAAGGCCTTCCGTCCAGAGATCACCAAGATCGATGCCGCAGTATTGTATGGAGCTGGATCCCATGATCCAGATAAGCTGAGCTGCTGTCAATGTCAGTGTCAGTATCAGCGGCTCACACTTCCGGACCGAGCCCCCACCCTCTTAAGTCATCTCCTCATTCTGTCAAGCATTCCAGACGTGTCGACCACTATCCAAGGAGTGATGTGGTGATTTTCACACCTTAAGGGTGAGATCAGGCTAGTCACCGCTAATGACTCCGTAAGTTATTTTATGGGGGCACTGGTCGACTTCTGACTATTGTCCTCTAGGAGAAACAGCTGGCTTTCCCCAAGACATTCAATAGGGCTTGGAATAGGGTGTTCATACCCCGTGGATGCAGAATAAGGTCATATATCTGATATTCGCGGCAACAGAGCAAGCTTTCACAGAGAGAGAGAGAGAGCGATCTATTCGGGAATCTTTGCCGCACCTTTCCCGCCCTCGAGACGGGGCCAGCACCTACAAAGACACATGCCCCCACACCTCATCCAACGCCAACTTTGGGGATTCATCGTAAAGAAAGCGATGAAGCTGATCGACCGGTTAACAAAGGCCACGAGTCTACGGGCCGGGACAATACCCTCCTTCACGGACAGACTTCACACAGGGGTATTGACCGCATGGCAATTATGCACTGTGTGTACGCTGAGTTCCCCCATCACCGTTCCTGTGCCGCAAATCCGATCACCCGGGGTCATGTTCGGGCCAGACACGGGTCGGCTCCGTGGGACATATGTAGAACCTCGCTTATAGCAACACCCTCAGCCGATGGGGAAGCCACTGAAGATTCTTACTGAGTAGATTGTGGATCGTTGCATGTGCATGAGGGCCGAGGGTCGCTTACGGACCAACTCCTTGCCCCTTGTTTTAGGGCTAACAATGCCGTTGATTTTGGCTGACAGGTAGAGGCTACTAAACTACATCGGGGGTTTTCCCCCGGCGATCGGCATCCACCACAATCTATCTGAATCGGCGATCGGGCGTCGTGCTCCAGGCATACGTACGCTACCCGCTCAATGGGGGAACATGTTAGGGGCACGGGAGAACTGGGGTCGATTGCTGACTCGTTCGGTAGAGCGATCGAGGGGGCATGACCGGCAGGACTGATTCATGTTACACCGTACATATATCACGGTGTGCCGCGGGATAGGGGTTATGTCTTCAGAGCACGATCTGGTCCAAACATGATTGCATTGACCTCCCTCCTGCATGTTCTCCCTCTGCTCCTCGCCACGGCACATGGCCAGCTCTCCGGCCGCGTTGGACCCTTGACGACCGTGGCGGAGAAGAACGCCACCAGAACGTGCAATGTGCTCGACTACGGTGCCGTTGCAGACAACGCAACAGACGTCGGACAGCCCATCATCGATGCCTTCGCCGACTGCGGACGAGGAGGAGTCATTTACATCCCTCCGGGCGACTACCTCCAAACGACCTGGGTGCACCTCACCAATGGCAGCGCCTTTGCCATCCAGCTAGACGGAATCATCTATCGCGGAGCCTCCCCTTCTTCGCAATCGTACATGTTCGAGTTCTCCTCAAGCAGTGACTTCGAACTTTTTAGTTCGACTTCTCGCGGAGCCATCCAGGGCAGCGGATACCTGTACCACCAGTCAGGCAATTTCGTGGGCCCGCGACTCCTCCACATCAGTGGGGGATCGGACTGGTCGGTACATGACCTGGCGCTTGTCGACTCCCCGATGTTCCACTTTGTGATCCAGGGTGCTACCAATGGTGAGGTGTATAATATGGCAATCCGCGGTGGGGATCATGGAGGGCTCGATGGGATTGATGTCAGCGGAACAAATATCTGGATTCATGATGTGGGTGTTTCCACTATGGTTTGCTGATGGGACAACGTACGCTGACAATGTTTGATACAGGTTATGGTCACGAATAAAGATGAATGTGTCACAGTCAAGGTATGCGTCCCCGCAAATTCGTCAATGCACTTTGTTGACTAACACTGCACCTGTGACAGACGGGGTCGAAGAATATCCTCGTCGAGAGCATTTACTGCAACAGCAGCGGAGGCTGCGCCATGGGGTCCCTGGGCGCCGGAACGAACGTCAGCGACGTCACCTACCGAAACATCTACACATGGTCATCCAACCAGTTGTTCATGATCAAGAGCAACGGAGGATCCGGGACTGTGTCGAATATCCTCTTCGAGAACTTCATGGGTGAGTTGGTCCTGCCTCATTAGCCCGAAACCCTAGCCTTAGCCCTGAACCAGCAATCTAACATCGATGCCAACCTTTCTAGGCCATGGAAACGCCTACAGCCTGGACTTCGACACAGCCTGGAGCAGCATGTCCACGATCGAAGGAGACGGCATCGCATACAGCAACATCACGTTCCGCAACTGGAAAGGCACCGAGATCGATGGCGAGGACCGTCCGCTCATCAAGGTCAAATGCCCCGCCCTGACGCCCTGCACGGACCTGGCGATCGAGGAGTTTGCCCTCTGGAACGAGGAGGGCCACTACGCGCTGCACGTCTGCGAGCACTCGTACGGCTCGGGCTATTGCCTTTCCAACGCGAGCGTTCCAGTCACGGGCACCGCGGGAGGCTACACCACGACGCAGTATATCAACACGCCCCCGGCGGGCTACTCGGCCACCACCATGGCAGAGGACCTTGCGACGGCCTTTGGAACCTCCGCATCCATCCCGATTCCGACAATCCCCACTTCGTTCTACCCGGGCTTGACGCCGTATAGTCCCCTCGCGGGGGCTTATGCCTTTGCTTTGAGTAGTGCCTACCCGTCAAGTAGTGCTCATCCTTCAAGCAGTGCGCTCCCGTCCTACAGAAGGAATGCGACAGCATCAACCAGACCCTCGACTCCGGCTCAATCGTCGACTCCAGCCCACCAGACACCGACTTCTTCTTCGGTGGGTTTGCCGTCCTCAGAGCCGCCATCCGCGTGTTATTTCGCCACATCCAGCCCGCATGTCACAGCGGTCCCGGCAGCTTCATCATCAACGTCCACCGCCTCAGTATCCTCAGTTCACGATTCGCATACAGAGCAGCGCGTACCGCATGGCTTGGGTGGGCAGCACCTCCGATTCCACCAGCACCATGGAGGTCGTCATCCGTACCACTGAGGATTCACCCCGTGTCTGGGGAGCTAATTCTGTGAAATATATTTTTCCACATCTATAGATCTGATGTTTTAATCAATTGACGTATGTCTATGGAGGGTTCTGTAACTGCCGGCTCAGGGCATAAAGGCTTAGTTAGCCGATCATCAAAGCAATGCTCCAATCCTCGATCTCCTACTATACAAGAGATCGCCTACTTCTACCGATACTTACCTATTGTGCGTTACACTACTTTTCTTTTCATGAATACGCTTATTCTACTTCGACAGGCGAGTTGTTTAATTAGTTAATGGCTGAACAATACATCTTTTGACTGTGATACAGCCATTGTTTTCATTAGAAGCTGAGATCCTATATTCTAATACAGTCTGCAGGGCTCGATATCAGGGCACGTGCTGCCTTAGCGCTTACTGCATGCAGTGCTGCGTTATCTCATTGTCGTCAGCAGAAGCCGCCACTTCCGCCACTTCCGACCCCATACCCCACCACCTCAGGCTACCCTCATCATGTCGCTACGACGCAGGTCTTGCAACGCTTGCTTCAAAGGGCGACGAAAGTGTGATCTTTGCTATCCCGTCTGTGAGAATTGCATGAGGACAAAGAAGAACTGCCAATATGCATACCCGCCTAGGCCACGGGGCCGCACCAACGAACCACGAACTGCGTCAGACGAGATAGATATCTCGTCAACGACGCAGGCGAGTAACGCCGTCCTGGAGCTGGAGCTTCTGAAGTCACCCGCCGTGGCTGTCTTGGATGCATCCGACCAAGATGCAGTGCTACAGCTTCCACTGAGTTTCACACCAGGTACCTGCACCCCGGACTTCACGCCGGAGAGAATCTCATTTTCCGCCACATCAAGACTCGTAGGCACCCTCGGCGAGGTTCAGCCGATCCAGGGCAGCACACGGTCATGGCAGTGGGTGATGGACGAGCTGAAAGGCTACCCGGGGGAATTCGCCCACCGGGGAGAGACGATCTTCATTCACCGCGACCAGTACTGCGACGAGATGCCACAACCTATCCGGACGGCCTTTGGTATCTGTTCCTCCTTCTGTCTCAGCCCCGAGACGACGAACCGGGAGATGGCATTCCGCGTGATCGATGCCGAAGTCTCCGAGCTGCTCCAATCCCCCACCGAGCCAAGTTCGAGCTCTGGTTGCAAGCTATCTCCGCTCCGAACGGAGCTCGCGCGCCTCCAAGCACTACTGCTCTACCAGACCATCCGCCTCTTCCACGGCAACCTGCAGCAGCGGGTCGCAGCCGAGCAACAGGGGTCAATGCTCATGACTACGGCGCTGAAGATCATTGTTCGCGCGCAATCCGAGCCGGAGCTTCAGAGGCCAAAGACCCGGCATGCTTGGGTCCTCGGCGAGTGCATCCGACGCACAGCTCTCCTAGTGTACTTTCTCTACGGAGTCAACTCGGTGTACCGAGAAGGTATCTGCGTGGGACTGCATACGCTGCGGCAGTTGCCTTTGTCGGCGGAGATATCTTCCTGGGGCGTGGATGGTGAGTGTGCAGTTCAAGGGGACCAGGGGCATTTGCGCGGGGAGGCTGCGCAGATGCTTCCCTATGAAGCGTTTCTCGCGCGATGGCTTGTTTCGATGCCGCGGCGGTTGGATCGCTTTGAAAAGTTGCTGATTGTTCCGTGTCAGGGGCTGGAGGCTGTTGAGGCGTTCGAGGACCTGGGGGGTTTGGTTGCGGAGTCGATATGATCTTTGTTGGGGGACTCCGACTGTGTCCAGACGATATATAGGTCTATTTGTCTATGCACGTTCTTATCACTGTGTCTCTCGACCCCCATCACATTTTACATAAATACTTATGCAGACTGAAGACTAAGTAGTTCAATAATGCTAAAACCACCCGAACTTTCCATTACTATCATGCCTCGATAGAACGACAAGCGATCGCGTCAGTTCTCCACATCTGGTCGAGGTTTTCCTTTCCATGTGTTGTCTGGCTCTTTGATGGATACGTCTAAATCTGGTCCTGACTAGGTTTGCCCTGGGTTTAATGATGTGATAGCCTCGAAGCTGGGAATGGGTGATGGACACAGTATTATGATGTGGCTGGTCTATCAGCTTCGGGAAACTGCCGAACCCCAGTTATCTATCGAGGCGGATGTTGCAATGCCGCCACTAAATCTTCTTGGCATGCTGATCGGATGGCTTTCCCTGGTGAAGAGAGCTTGTGGATAAGACTGTTGGTGAGGCTATCAAGGCCGTTGACATCCTGTTGGTCAATGACGCGTGATACTCGCGTAACAGAAATGATATCGGCGATATGATAGGCATCAAGGGATCAAGCTTGAAGTCTCTGTAACCAACACTGCTAGCCTTATCTATACCCTTTCTGGCAGTATAATTGAGAATCCGAAAAAAGTATATGTTGAGTCAAATCCTCACGCAAAACCTACCTTCGCGCAGATGTTTGCTTGAACTGCTGCAAAACCATCGGTACAATGACTGCCACCGTTCTTCTTCTAGCCACACTTCCCATTTGTGCCCTTGCGTCGAGCGTCGTCAATGTCTTGAATGTGCCATACTCTGTTCCCTCAAAGGTCGAGGTATGCGTTCTACCTGTCCACCATTCCAAAGTCTCTCTAAGGGATCCATGGATCTAACAATGCATACAATTCAGTTGGCGCATGAATTCAAAGTGCAAGACGCACTTCCGGTGACCGTCCTCACATCCCAAGAGGCAGTCATTACAGCAACATGGATCAACAGCACCGTTTCTGATTTTTTGGTCCAAGACGACGTTTACACCAAGGGTTTTTTTAACGGTAAGAACTTTGTATTTTTGCTGCGCGCGATGACTGATTCCTGTTAGCGTTCTACTTCCAGGGTCCCGAAGGTCTTACCCTGGCTGGCGACGCAGAGTCCCTGCTTAAGACATTCGGAACCAGCCGGGTATTCTGGGCTTCATCGCAGCACAATGCAACCCTTCCAGACGGCCCCTACTTTGCGACATCTTCGGGCCTGCACCGGGCCTGGCGCCTCTACGACGATTATACTAATGCGTTCGTCCTGCCGACCATACCATCTGCCAACGACACCAACACCTATGAAGTCCTCCCTGCAAGCGGCGGCGACCTGTATGGAGCGATCCAAATTGCCGTCCCATCCAGGCTGTTCTACAAGCCTACGCCCGAGCAGCCTCTTGCTGGCTACCGCATCGGCGTCAAGGATCAGTATGACATCAAGGGTCTCATCACGACTTTTGGAAGCCGCTCGTACGCCGCGACGTATCCTCCATCGAATGTGACGTCCGGGGTCATTCAGCATCTCCTCGACCAAGGCGCAGTTGTTGTCGGCAAGACCAAGCTGTCCGTTTTCGCCAATGCGTGGTTCAGCATTGCCGAGTGGCCGGATTATTCTCTGCCCTTTGTAAGTACCATTCAACACATTGGAATAGATCAATGTCAGAAGACTGATGCAAGATAGAATCCCCGCGGCGAGTCGTACCTCATCCCCGGCGCCTCTTCTGCGGGCTCGGGTGCGTCTCTTGCCGCATACGACTGGCTGGATATCACCATCGGGGAGGATACCGGCGGTTGTAAGTTGGATCCAGCCCACTCACCAGCTACCCGAAAGCATCTCGCTCACACATAAAATCGCCAGCGATGCGTTTTCCCGCCGCGCAAAATGGCGTGTACGGGATTCGCTCCACCAAGAACAGCACCAACAACACCGCAACCGCGTTTGGACCCTTCGACGTCGCCGGCCATTTTGCTCGCGACGTCGACTCCTTCAACACCTTCGGTGCCGTGATGTACGGGCAGTCCGGCTATAAGAACTACACCAAGTTCCCCACGAAGATCCTCTACCCTCGGGAGTATTGGGCGAACATCAACCCGAACTACACGGCGCCGTGCGAGGAATACGTCCAGAATCTGGAAGCATTCCTGGGCGTGAACCGGACTATCGTCGACAGCAATACGCTTTGGTATGAGTACTCGGGGAGTAACGTGAGCTTGGCGGACTATTTTGCGAATGTAGGCTCATACGACGACAATAAACCCCCCCTCCCTCCCCCCCTTTCTTTGATTACCATGCGGCTAACTCGGAGAAACGCTAACTCACAAAGCTCATTCCCTACGTCTCCGGAACGAATACCTTCTCCCTCAACTTCAAGAAAGACTACTTCGCGAAATTCGGCCGCTACCCCTACACCACCCTCAACGCGGCCAGCGACCCCTCATTCACCCCGCAAAACGCCACCCTGGGCGAGATCGGCCACGCCCTCCAATCTGAGTTCCAGACCTTCTACCGCAGATACTTCCTGTCTGCCAACGAGGAAACCTGCTCCGACGCTATCGTAGTCTTCCCCTTTAACGGCAACGGCGGGATCCCCTGGTATCGGGACAGCAACATCAGTTATACCGTGGCGGGAAGCGCCCCGGCGCTCCCGGGGTATATCAGCTGGAACTATCTGTCGGTGATGAACGAGAGTCCTGAGGTGGCGGTGCCAGTGGGAACGGTGAAGTATCACAGCCGGGTGTCGCTAGTGGAGGAGGAGTTTCCGGCCACGGTGGAGATCCAGGGGGCGGTTGGGTGCGACTTTATGCTGATGAATCTAGTGCGGGCGGTTGCGTATGCGAGGGGGCTGAGGAAGGGGGTGCGAACTGGGTCGAGGATGTATTGAGTTGACTGGATTGTGTCTGAGGGTGATTTTAGAACAAGTGCTGTTTGAGTGCTGAGCAGGTACAGTACAGTACACGTCTTTACGTCTAGATAGGTCTGCGGGCTGCGGGCTGCGGGGAGCCCCCACTTTTGCCCGCCACCTCCGCAAGACACCAGATGTCCGCACCGCACCGCACCGCGACGCAGAGCTTAATAATGCATCGATCTATACAAAGAAAGGAGCAGATACGGAGTATAGAGTTTCGTATGACCTCATCTGAGAGCCTTATCCAAAAGTACCTATATGTACACCTCAGAACTATATAAAGAACCACGTTGCTCATCCAAATTGCCCAAGACAGCAACACAGCCCCTTCCCCCCGCACAGCCCTAACTTCATCCATCCGATCCCTCCAAACAAAGACTTACTCCCTACCTCGAGCAAACCATGACCAAGACAATCACCATCATCGGCGCCACCGGCACCCAAGGCGGCTCCGTCGTCAACGCCCTCCTCTCCACGCCGTCAACCTACACGACCATCCGCGCGATAACCCGGCACCCCACCAGCGCTGCCGCGCAGACCCTCGCCGCGAAAGACGTGCAGCTCATCCCCGCCGACCTGCACGACCCCACATCCTTGCAGACTGCATTCGCCGGCACCCACGCCCTCTTCGCGGTGACGAACTTCTTCGAGGCCCTGCCCACCCACGGCGTCGACGGTGCCATGGCGCTCGAGACGCAGCTGGGCACCAACATCGCCACCGCGGCGGCCGCCACCCCGACCCTGGAGCACTTCGTCTGGTCGACGCTGCCGGACTCCGCGGCCAACTCCGCCGGGGCAGTGGTCGTGCCCTACTACGAGAGCAAGCGCCGCGTGGACGCGTTCATTGCCGAGACCCTGCCGGGGCTGTGGGCTAAGACGACGTTCCTCTGGGTCGGCTGGTATAGTGCCAACATGCTGCTGCCGTGCTTCCTGCCGATGCGGGTCCGGGGCGCGGCGGATGACGGGTTTCTGATGTTGACGAATATCGACCCCGCGACGAGGGTTCCGGTGGCCGGGGATGAGAGGGTGAATGTGGGGTTGTTTGTGAGAGCGATTCTGGAGACGCCGGATAGGACGCTGCCGGGGAGGGTCGTGGCGGCCATTACTGAGTATCGTGCGTTGCGCGATGTGGTCGGGGCGTTTGGGAGGGCGACGGGGGTCAAGGTCCGGTGTGTTCAGGTCGGGAGGGAGGATTATCGGGCGTTATGGCCGGGGTTGGCCGAGTTGATGGATGTGTCGCACTATTATTTTCAGGTTACGGATGGGAGGTCGTTCACGGTGGTGGGGCGGGAGGAGGAGGTTCTGGGTGCGGAGGATCTGGGGGTAGAGGGGTTGGTTGGGCTGGAGGAGGCTTTTGCTGGGGTGTCCTGGTTGGATTGAAGTTGTTTTGTCCTTTGGTTTGGTGGTAATTTTGGCATGCTGGAAGTTGTAGTTATTGAGCTGGTTATGAAAACAGAGGGAATCATTCCCGATAGCCGGTTTCTTCACTGTAGAGCGATAGTTAGGGCGAGAGGCACTCTCACTTCCATTTGAGTAAAGCTCCCCGGTGTATCTCAAGCAGCTGCGCATGCATGCGATGCAGTGGAATCATGTCGAAGCAAGCAGCCCCCGCAGAACCATCTCCAGTCTCTCCACCCCCTCCACTAACCGATCCTCATTCTCCCACATGAAGCACAACCTAAGAAACCCATCCACTCGCTCCCTGGATCCACCCGTATTCGGTCCTGGTACAGCAAACAACCCCCCTTTCCCAATCACCAGCCCCTGCTTCGCCGCCTCGCGGTCCACATCCTCACTACTCACCCCATCAGGCAGCCGAAGCCACACGAAGAAGCCACCCGCTGCCATCCCGCGCGCCTCATCCGGCTGAAAGACTACGCCCAAGGAGGCCAGCTTGTGCCGTACTGCCTCCGCCAGAAGGCGGTACCTTGTTGACACAGCCGGCAGGATAGTTCCATTAAGGTGGGTGTGCAGGCTTCCATCTTCGAACATCTGGTTGATGTAGGTTGAGGTCAGGTGCGACGGTGCACCGCCGGAGATGTTGGATCCACTGCGGTGACGAGAATGCATTTAGTTCACGGCTGCCACGGGGACACTCACTGCCCGAGCGAGAATAAGGAAGCAGGGACAGAATACATACCACTGCGCCAACGCATCCACGAATTTCGGGGTTGCCTCCGCCCAACCCACCCGACAGCCAGGGCCGAGGATTTTGCTGAACGATCCGTTGCTCACCACATTGCCGAACTCATCATCCCCGACACCACCATCCAGTGTACGATCAACGTCCACAAGCCGCGGAATAGGCGATTGCTCTGCGGGCGTGACAGGGAGGAAATCATAGACGTCGTCGCACACGACGAGCGCGTCGTGTCGTCGCGCCAAGCGCACCAGCACCTCGCGGCGGGGGACGGACATAGTTGCGCCCGAGGGATTCGCGTAGGTCGGGACGCAGTAGATGAGATGCCTGTATCGCTTACCATAACTTGTCCGGTCTGTGTCTGCGCTTCTGGCATCCCCAACATTCCCACATCCCTGAAAATCACATGCTCGATACCGCGCGTCTGCAATCCCCCGCTCAACCTCCTCAACCAACAACCCCTCCTCGTCCTTCGGAACAGCCCGCAGCCGATCCCCCAGCCCGGCGTCCCGGAACATGGTAAAGACCAAATGATACGTCGGCTCGGGGAGCCACACCGCCACCGTATGGCGCGGGTCCGTGAAGACTTGCAGGATGCACGCGAGGTTCTGGGAGGCGCCGCCCGTGATGCAGATTCGCTCGGTGGGGATGGGCCGCGCGGGCGCGTAGAAGTTCGTCAGCCATGTGGCGATGTTTACTCTGAGAGGTTGGTAGCCTGCTTCGTCGCCGTAGTCGAGGGCGGGGATGTAGAGGCTTGGGTTGGAGAGGACGGTTGCGGCGGCTGAACGGAGGTGGATGGCGGGCAGGAGGGAGGGGTGCGGGGAGCCTTTTTGGAGATTAATGGGATGCATTTTGTTCTGTAGGTACTGCTCTATGCTTTCCGGGGGGGTCAGGTAAAATCTGTAGAATTCAGGGGGGGAGGATTTATAGAAGAGTTCATAGCTAAGTGCAAGTGAATGGATGCTAGCCCTAATTTAAGGTGAGTTTCATCTCCGCTGCCCGAATGGGCAATGTATGCGATCGGACCAATCATAACGACTCTTCTGTGGTGAGAATATGGGACCATTGGGTGGAGTTTCTTCACTGATAGTGCATATTTATTTGCAACGAATCGATCACTAACAATAGTTCGAGGATTCAAGCATTCGTGGGCTTGGCAGCCACCCTCCCATCAAGATAAAAATGAAGTTCACCGGAAATCTCCACCGTCAGGTTAGCATCCGGCACTAACCCATTCTACCACCGCTGATAGAAGACCGTGTTTCATAGATCCAATCAGTCTAGTATCACTGGCTGACTGTTTCTAATCATGGCTCTTGGTTTACTGTGAATAGATAAGTTATCATAATCTCCCTCTCCTTTGTTCTTAGTAGGACGAAGGCATGCTATCTTACTCTCCCCATCCTCAACCCACACACCAAGAAACATAAACCCCCCGAGCAAGCAATCCACGTACCACCCACACCAATTCTGAACCTCACCCCCATTTCCCAGAAGCACTACCCGAACTCAAATCCCCGAATCATCCTGAAACCGCCCGTTCGGATTCCAATGATTCGCCGGATTCGCATACCACCGCTCCCAGTTGTCGCACGTCCGATCTAGCTGCTGCTTCGCGAAGGTCGTCGGGACCTGCGCGATCTGCGCGGCCAGCACCTCCTTCAGCTCCAGGTCCTGCAGCGCGAGGCCCCCGGACGCGTGCCACGCGATGTGGCAGTGCAGGGTCCAGACGCCCGGGTTGTCGGTCTTGAAGGCAACGACAATGAATCCGTTGCTGGGGAGGAGGACGGCGTCGCGCCGGCGGGGGTTATCCAGGGAGAGATCGAGGGACTCGGGGCCGTCGTAGGGGAACTCAGAGTATTGGAGGATGGCGAAGTCGTGGCCGTGGAGGTGGATCTTTGACCCTCGGTTATGAGGGGGGTGGGTTAGGATGTGGTCTTATCGAGCGTTTGGAGCAGGGGTTGGGCAAGGATTGAGGGACTCTAACCAGGGGTGAGGGGGTGGAGACTTACCGGGTGAGCAACAGGTACCAATCGACCCCCGGAGACCGGGGTGGGGTTGTCCAAGTTCCCCCCGATCAAGATCATATAGTTCCAGGTGGATGTCTGTGGAGAACCCACCGGTGGTTCCTCAGCCAAGTAGATAACGGCATTAGGGTCGTAGGGCGGGTCGAGGTGGTTGATGGTGGGCTCGGTGTAGTTAACGAAGACGGTATCGTTCAGGAACTGCCACACGTTGACCGTTGCGGCGGCGTCGTTGCCGTCCGCGGGCAGGAACCAGGTGTCGATCGTGACGGAGGCCTCAAGGAGGGCATGGTTACTGTGGTATTTTACTGCTGTGAGGCTAATAGCCGGTGGTTCGATGGTCCACGGGACGACGGGGACCAGGTCGAGCATGTCACTGCAGGTGGAATTGTACGACCAGGCTGTCGTGGTCGGTACCGGAGGCTTATCTTCGTCGTCATCCCCGTACCACAGGATGCCCTGTCTGTCGTCCGGGAAGGTCTCGAAGTTGTGGCATCCCTCTGCAGGCTCGGTGCGGATCCAGTAGCCCTGTTTGGATCTGGGAATTTGTTTCTTGTTCGAGGTTTCGAGGACGACGTGATAGCGTTGACCTGTTTGATTGATTAGTGGTGATTCCTCGCAGTAAGCGCCATGTGAACGTGTCAAAAAGAACAGCGGCTTTAGGGTGAGCATTACCAATTCCCATATAGATGTGATTTGTTGTATACGGTTCAACTGGGACCAAGTCATTGCCGATGACCGTCAAATTGTGTTCATCGATACTAAAAATAAACGTGCTATCCGTGGACGCGTTGATCAAGCGTAGAATGTATCGTTTTCCGGACTTCACCTTCTTATGATATCGATTCTTGGGGAATGATCCGGCATAACTCCCTGATTCATCTTACATGTCAATAATTGTATCGCATATTCCTCACAAGGCAGATGTCACTTACCCTGACCATTGATCAGAATGCTGGTCTGTTTAGGAGGCACGCGAGGCGGATTTGCGACAGGATTCGCAAACTGCTCCTGGTAGTAGTCCATGAACGCACTGCGGTGGTTGTGGTCAGAGATGAGGATCGGGTCCAGGGCACTGTCGAAGTTGGCGGATGTGGGACCGTGGATCGTCATCGGGCCCAGCAGGCCATCAGAGTACTGCAGACTGTAATGGCTGTGGTACCAGGTGGATCCGTACTGGGTCGTGTTGAACACGTAGCTGAATGTGTCTCCCGGTGCAATGGGACATTGAGTAATGCCAGGGACACCGTCCATGAGGGTGGACCCGAACTGGCGAATGCCATGCATATGAATCGCAGTCCCGTTCTTCGAGAGGGTGTTCTTGACGGTAATGTCTAGAGGTGGCCTGTTCAGTAGTGGACGGAGTATATATTTTGTGTTGATACTTACTCACTACGTCGCCCCAACACGCCTCTGGTAATAGGTCAGTATGCATCAACAGCGTTGATACCGTAAGAGGCGTTTGCACTCACGTATCCAAGGGCCAGGGAAAGACTTGTCAAACAGCTTGGCATATGGAAAGTCGATGCCATCCCAATTCGCAGGACGCTTCGTATCTTCGCCCACGGTGAGGAAGTACTAGCATTGTTTACCCTTTCGCTGCGTCGAGAAGCTGGAAAAGAATACTTACTTTGCGTTCAATGCCAATAGGAGCCCTAACTTCATAGTCCGTGTGGATGGTAAAATCCTTAGAAGCATCGGTCCGATGTTTCAGCCAGACACCTCGGTTGTTAGGCGAGGGATCGTAGGTGTACTCGGCTGCCATAGCCGGATAATGGCATTTGAAGGAACCATGGGCACTCTCATCCTCAGCAGCACCGGGCGGCACAAACGACAGAGTGCCTGGCGCAATTGGAATCTGGGGTGATCCGGCTTCATATGGTCCACGGAACAAAGGGAAGCTTGGCTGGAAGCCGAAAAATGTTATGATATTGATGATGTAGGTTTGTAAAAACATGTTGATTCTACATGAGAACTGCAGAGGAAAATTCCTTAGACCGGCACGAAAGCATGGCAATTTATTCTTCTGTGTTTGAGATTGGACCCCTGTCCAGGCTTTCCAAGTCCGAGCAGAATGATCAACCGAGATCTCGTATAACGCGCCCGATGGCATCCTTGCCAGGTTCCTTCTCGAAAAAATCATGACGTGAGTCGGACATGCAGTCGTAGTCATCATGGAGAATAGAAGAAGACTTGTTCCAGGATGGTGTCTTGATTTTGAAAATGTGTTCTTCAACTATCTGCATTCAGAATAGACACACGGAATGAATCCCTTCATATTGTATAGCCTGTAGACTGCTGTGGCAAGACCTCACTATCATCGTAACAAGAATATCTCGGAGGAGAGAGCCATAGAACAGATATTTTCGATTCGACTGTAGAGAAGCTAGAACAGTAATCATTCGGGCCCTATTACAATTTAAGTGTGAGTGTGGGAGGATGGACCGAGGCTCCACTCAGAGCAGCATCCAATGACAAGCCATGCAAATTAAGCCTATCGATCATCTGAACGTATCGACCTCAGCAAAATAGGCAAGCGACAGGGATACCTTTAATAGATATGACGTTTTCGCGAGCTCTTCGCGTCTGAAAGCGATTTGTCCTAGGCAAGAACCAAAAGCAAGGGAGCGCGGCACATAAACTACCTGCTGAATACAAGAAAATGGTCAACCAACCCTCCCAGAATGGTATCTAGACATTAACCTTATATATTGGCACATGATATCCTTCTCAGTGTAATTTTGAGAAACGTATGTTGAACGCACGAACTATGTGCCTGTGTGCTACAAGAACCCACGGTACGCCCCATACGCCCCGTGTAACCCTAACACGACAGCAAAAAGCAATGACCTAGCACTACTATTAGGATTAATCGTTACACCTGTTAGCTTGGTGACACCAAGATCCGTGGCTGTCCACGTTTCCGTGACTCCATGCTGTGCTGACGCAGACGGATCCGAGATATCCTTATGAACCTGTTCGATTTGGAAGCCTAATTCATGCTCGATATCCCTGGCCATGCAGGGCCTTGGACTGTCATAGATTGTCTATTTTTAATATGAGTGAGATCACGTATTGAGATACGATTTGCAATGATGCATGATATCTGGGCCTTGGTCACAGGATCGTCACAGTAACTTTCTTTTAATACCTATTTTCGCTCACAGGTCATTTTTATCTCCCTTGGTGGCCTGACCTCTGTTGGGAAGAGGATTCTAGATAGCAAGTCTCCGAAACCTTTTCTCCTATGGTGCAGTAATTCGGCAGTGTTTGGCTCCGACGGTCGTGGTCAGTTATGTACAGCGGATAGCAGCCGCCATCCTGCAAAATCAGTTTCCCTCACTATATGCCCATTGCATGACTTACTGATTCCCAATAGAGGGATCTGAGCACCTTTTTGAACAAGCTGAACAGCAAAGCCTCTGAGCACCTTTTCGCACCCTTTTATAAGTGTCTTTCTGAGCACTTTCTCACGCAAGAAGGGTAGCAAAGACTGTGTGAAAAGCACATTTATAACTACAAGGCTACAGCTGAAGCCTTTTTGGTGATCTTCTAGGTTAATCAGCAAGTGTCTTTACCTTCTGGATAGATGAACTTGGATGAACCTCATATTTTGATTTGGTATATGATATTGTGCAGATTATAGAACCTGATAAGAATCTACACGAATCACTAATCAATCCAGCTACCTTGAAGATAACATAATTTACTTCACTTCCTTACTTATATACAGAGGTATTGGGAGAGATTACTACCCTGCCCAGTTTGAATGGTGCTTAGGAAGGTGCTTAGAAGTAGGAAACAACTTAAGTATGGTGGCAGAATCGTAATTATAATGCTTAAAATAGTGAACGATCTGGATTCGCACGATGGCGGATGCAATCTGCCTACGAGAGCCCAGTGCAGCCACTTAGCAAATAAAGACTCTCCTACCAAGCAATTTTCTTAACGCAGTGACTGTCTAACAAATCGGTAGCCGCATTGCCTACGAAGTTCGAGTACAAAGTAATTATCAATCTGAAAAGAGTCAGTAGCTACCTTTACGTGATCAATTCGTCTGGTGTGTATTCCGCCTCCGCCCCGGGTTTCATTGCATTCACCCAATATTCAATCTACGAGCGATATGGGGCCCATTACCCTCTGACAGTCCTTGCAGCCATCAGTGCCGCCCTGGCGTGTATACGCTAACTGTTCTACTTTTATGCGTCGACAATTCGCAAGATGAGCAAGCATCCCGTGATCAAAGGCTAAATAGGTCATTACAGATGAGTTCTTGGCTTTATGGCTCTTGAAGTCAGTTTATGCCTCAAGATGAAACATTAGGATCTCCGTGCGGGATCTGAAACCTGTGTGCTCTTGGCGCAGGAGTCTCGCAGTAGTTTTTACTAATGTGAACGGACTGTGAAATGGACATGGCAGCCTGACAATAAAATCAGCAGTGTTGAAGGGTGTTTGCCACTCCATGTATCCACTCCCAACCCTAAACGACCTGACTGAGTAGATTACACCCACGGTTGATGTTCTGACTAATAATCATAGAATATGCTGATGAAAAAGTTCGGATGGGATGAATAAGCACACTGTAAGCAACGGCAATGAGTCAGAAACTCCACCAGGACTGACTTGGTGTATTATACAATCATTACATGTACAGGGCATTTATTTGCCCCTAATCAAAATCATCACCCCTGGCTTCATATGGTCCTGAGTGGGGTACCTCAGCCCTATGAGGGCAAACAAAATTATGAGAGTGGCTACAGGGGTCAGCTATGCCTCAGTTAAAGGTCTTCAGATGGACTCACTCAGAGCGGGAAAAGCTAATCATGATATAATCACACCGGCTCTAGGCCTCTAAAGCCATGTCTCCAAGAATAGGTATAAAGGGGGACATCCAAATTCCATACCGAGCACCTGGCGCGGAAATACCCTTTTCAATCCTAGTCTGCACCTTACAAACTATTCTTGGAATGATGGATTCTGGCTCAGCGCTTAGCCCCGAGCAGGCTGAGCAGTATTTTGCTCATATTGGCCTACCCATGCGAGGCGCCCAAGGGCGTGATCTCCGACCAGATCTTGAAACTCTCTCCGCCATCCAAGCCCACCATCTATCACGAATTCCCTTTGAGAATGTCGCGCTGCATTACAGCAACACTCCACGGATCTCGTTAGAAATTGCCGACATCCACCATAAGTTCATCGAAAAGGGACGCGGTGGCTACTGCATGGAGCACAACCTCCTTCTCTGCCATGTGCTGCGCTATAAAGGGTTCCAGGTGCATCTCACCGGCGCGCGTCTCCATCGGGATGCAACCACTCCCATTCCAGGGTGGTCAGGATGGTAATTCACCCCTTTCTTTCCCAATCGACTGTCCATTGTACTGATCAACCCAACAATAGGGAACACGTAGTCAACATCGTCACCCTGGCCGATCGATCCCAGTACATGGTTGACGTGGGCTACGGCGGCGACGGCCCCATCCTCCCCGTGCCCCTGACACCCACCGGCGTGACGCTTCCCAACCTGGGGATCCAGGAGTTGCGCTTACAGTACGAGTCCGTCCCAGGCCTCTCCAGTCGACCGGACCAGAAGTTCTGGACGTATCAGATCCGCAACGGCGCCGATCGACCCTGGCGACTGTGCTATGCCTTCTCCGACCTCGAGTTCCATCCGCCTGACCTCGAGGTCATGAACTTCTACACCAGCCAGTTTCCGGGCAGCTTTCTCACCACGCGCGTCTTGGCCATTCGATTCCTCGCCCGCGACGGTCACATCTACGGGAAGGTGGTTCTAGACCAGGACAAGGTCAAGGTCAACACGGGGGGCAAGTCCGTGCTAGTCCAGACGTGCGTGACCGAGGCGGAAAGGGTCGAGGTGTTACGGGAGCGGTTTGGCATTCAGTTGACGGTGGAGCAGCAAGAGGGGATCATCGGGAGGAATTCCGCACTTGCTGGATGTTGATTTCTAACTCCTCACGGCGTCTTCAAGGTTGTGGTTTCTGATACTGAGTTGGGATAGAGTAGGTGGGTGAATGGAAGTGCCGCGGGTGGGTTGGAGAGGGTTCGGGATGCCTCGGACCAACTTCTGATTTGCTGATGCAAGTATACCATAACATCAGTACTTACATGATAAGGTAGATAGGTTTATAGACCAGGACAAATCTCTCAGTCTAGAATTAGTGAGATCGCACATCTTTTCGCACTAATTCACGGTCAGTCACATATATGAGGGGGGGGGGGGGTTGAATCTCGCTCCCGGAGTACCTTAATCTCTACACTATATTGCGCCACGCGGTCAGGCAACGGGTTATATTCGTCAGACCCTACACAGAGTCTTGAAGTCTAATGAACTGCGCAGAATCACCTTTCTATCTACATACCTCCTGAGAGTAGTTCGAGGTTATGCCTTCAGGTTTAATCGGACTGACCGGTCACCTCAAGTATAGAAGGTAACTGACCAATGGGATATCGGTATCACAGCAGCTAAAAAGACGGAAAATCCTTCGGCAAACCTGAAAATCTCTACAATGCCACCATGATGATCCTCGTGGGACGCTTTCTGGAGGCTAAGGGTGGTTCCACTGAGGACTCTAAGGCTTATCGTTGGCACACGGCTCTCCGGGTCTCGGAATACTGGGATGGGGTGGCCAACTCGGCGAGAAAGTGCGTCACGGCCCTGGAAATCTTTTTTTCAGAGGCTCTTTATTGACAGTAACATTACAACAAAAAATGTTCCCCAGAGTGATATCGGCTATGATCGGGATTGGGATTCATTTTGGGCGATGTCAAATCCGCTCAGCCAGAAATCAACTCTCGCGCACGGTCTATTCCCATTCACATTTGATAATGCTATTCTGACTAATTTTATGCTGGCCCCTAATTACACAGGAGTTCCTCCCGACCGAGAGGTAAGCTTATATTGATGTGCAGAAGTTCCTTGTCTTCTTTCTCTTTATGCAACGAGATCATCTGTGGTCACGGGACCATCATCTTTTGCTGAGTCAGCACTGTTGGTTATGCAATATCACGTGCCAAATCGAATACATCTTGGAACCTTCAATACGGCTTCGATCCTGCCATATGATAAATGATTCACTTGGTGTCTATGCCATAACCACTGTGACCGGATGCAGGACCTCAGCAATACAGTCATCAAAAGTTCAGCCATGGTTGCCAGTCTGGCTTTGTCTGAGGGTATAGTTTGTGCCCGGATAAAGAATGGGGCCGATAACAGATTGCCTGATCCCCCAAGCGCTGTTAATGCTGGAGACTTACACTTTACAACCCAAGCTGACAGTCAGCACTTTTGACTTAACACATTTATCTTGATGAATAGGTCACTTGAAAAGAAGGACTATTAATTTTCACTTCCAAAACGACGGACTATGCTGTCTTCAGCATTCCTTCTCGGCCTATTGACAGCCGTCACTACTGTTCTCTCTAAAACAGTAGAATATGACTTCAATGTTACTTGGGTCCTCGCCAATCCAGATGGTGCCAAATTGCGACCAACCATTGGCATCAATAATGCCTGGCCTTTGCCGCAGATTCAGGCTGACATTGGGGACACCATAGTTGTCAATGTGCTCAACTCGTTGGGCAACCAGTCCACAGCTCTGCACTTTCACGGCATCTTCATGGAGGGTACCCCACACATGGATGGGACGGCTCAAGTCTCCCAGTGCGCTATCCAGCCTGGATCATCTTTCCAGTACAAATTTCAGGTTAGAATGAGATTACATAGTGACTGACATGGCCTAATGGTCGGTGTGAACGAACAATCGTCTAAGTAAAATCAACAGGTCAACCAGCCAGGAACATACTGGTATCATGCCCATGCGGAGTCGCAGTACCCGGATGGACTTCGTGGCCTCTTGATCGTGCAGGATGGAGCCTCCCCTTACCATGATGAGTACAACGAGGAGATTGTATTCTCGATCTCGGATTGGTATCACGAGCAGATGCCGGAGATGATGCCACACTATCTCCATCAGTCCATGCTCCATGATCCGACGCCTGACTCGAATCTCATCAACGACACTCAGAACCTCCAGATCCCGGTTCGAGAAAACGAGAAATACCTTGTTCGTATTGCGAATATCGGCGGCTTCATGGGACAATATGTCTCAATCGAGGACCATGAGATGACGATCGTGGAGGTGGATGGTGTCTACACGAAGCCCGCACAAGCACAGACCATCTATATCGCTGCTGGTCAGCGATACGGGGTTCTGATTGAAGGCAAGAACAATGCCAGCCGCAATTACGCTGTTACCGTGACTATGGACAAGGTATGTATCATGGGAACAGTAGTTGCGGGCTCGATTGCTGATCTGCTTCTGCAAGACTTTGATCATGATGGCCCACTCGCGACCTCAAGTCACCGTTACCGGTTGGTTAGTCTACGACCAGAGCCGGGCACTCGACGAACCATCCGCAGACATCGACATCTCCCAAGCAATTGACGACATTGGGCTGGAACCGTATGACGCGGAGCCACTCTTCACCTCACCGGATCAAAGCATCACTCTGAATATGGGAACGGCCCGACTTGCGGACGGAAAAAGCCAGTATGTTACCTCCCCTCTCCTCCCATCTATTCCTCCGCCCTATCACTTCTGAAACCCCCCCAAAAGCCACCTGTCCAACATATAGATTCACCTAAACAGCTGGACCTTCAATGATATTGCCTACACCCCGCCCGAATACCCGACCTTATACCACGCCCTCGAAGCTGGGGCACTCTCCACCGACGCTGCAACCTACAACCAATCCACCAACACCTTCATCCTCGCCGAAAATCAGACCGTGGAGCTGGTGGTCAACAACGGCCACATGAGCCGCCACCCGTTCCACCTGCACGGTCACAACTTCCAAGTGGTCTACCGCTCTGAGGCCGGGAATGGCAGCTTCGCAGACACCGGAGCGACCGAGGCGGATTTTCCTAGGGTTCCCATCCGGCGCGACACGGCTATTGTCCATCCCGGTGGGAACCTGGTGCTTCGGTTTCGATCGACGAATCCTGGTCAGTATAGCATTCCCCCTTTCTTCTTGTGTTGTCTCTTTCCAGATGAAAAGGGCTTAATCCGTTCACAACTGTTCACCGCCTCATTTGACTTTTTTGGTTGGTACTAGGAGTCTGGATCTTCCACTGTCACATGGAATGGCACGCGTACTCGGGGCTCGTGCTCACCCTCGTCGAAGCCCCGCTGGCCCTCCAGGAGCGGATGCGGCTCTCCACGCTTATTCCGGCAGATCATCTCGCTACTTGCGCGCCTGGACAGTCCTTGCTGTCAGGATCGGTTGTCGAGGTCGATGAAGCGGTCCCTTCTTCCACGCCAACAGAGGATGAGGACAATGGAGCGAGTTCCGACACGATGGGTGATCACGACAGCTCCGCTGCTACTAAGAGTAATTGGAATCGGTGAGTACAGCCATCTCGTTCCTTCCCTCTGGTGGGAACGGCAGCAGGAGATCAAACCCAAAGCAATCGACTAATTGCATTAACAGGGCGGGCGCTTACCTCGGTTTCTTGGTGGTCATGATGATAGCCACGGGAGTTGTTGCCTGGCGCGAAGTGCGGCGGTGTGCTTGCTCTGGACGAGAGACAAGGTACGCGCCGCTGCGTGCGGGAGCTACGGGAGCTTGAGGCGTTCTGCTTGAGCTTTTAGCCGGAGGTCATTTGGTATATAATGGACGAACATGTGGTCGCTACCACAAAATTTGTATATAGATGCCTATGCCCAGCTTATACAGTCCAGTACAGCCTTGTTTATCCGAAACGTGTGTGTTGATAGAGCTTGGTGTATATCGTTTCGATAATATACTCCCACGCTCTGAATATATAGAGTTGCTATTGCCAATCGACTACAGTAGAATCAACAGGGTGAAGACAGCCAATGTAACAAATTCCGCTCTGAGCGTGTCAAACATAGCAAATAACAATGAGCAGGACAACCTTTTCTATTGACATTCTGGACCGAACACCCCCGCTGGTTCCGATTAGCGAGGGTGGCGCAGGCGGAGATCGGGATTTCCCATGGATTGTTCGATCGCTCGGAAAGCCAGGTTTTGGCAGCCTTGGCTAACCTTGGAATTGGCATTTCCGCTCGATGACGTACCGCACCCCTTTCGCATGTCGCAGCCGCAGAAGAGGGGAAGATTCAGGTAATCCAGTGTCCGTTGGGGACATTTATTGTCAATGGTCTGTATGTTCTCCTCCGCTCATGGGAGAAGGAGGAAGGGTCTTTAGGGCTTGGTTGCGCATAGTTGCGGCTCGTGCGACCAGTTGCCATTCCCCCGCATAGGGACTCAACCCTACGAGTACTGTACATACGGTAGTATGAGGACAAGGCCCAGGGACAACATGAAGACCCACAGATTGCGGAGCTGAGCTTTGGCGAGTACCTTGAAAGAGCCGAGGGGATCTTTGACTTTTTCGTCGTTTTGCCGATGGAATCGGACCAGGGGGAGCTGCGGACGATCTGGACCTGGATTCGCACGTGTACGCAGGCCAAGCCAGAACCAGTCTAAGCGAGACGCTGGGCGCGCATTGGCGTGACCAGCCTGTGACAGCTAGATAAACCCACTACAACGCTTCACGAACACGTCTCTCCACAAAACAAGAAGATCGCTTGGCGGTAGTCCCGCCGAAACACCTTATAACAAGGCTGAACGCTCACCAGTACCTCGATCACGAACATGCAAAGTGACTAAACGCAGGCGACAACTGCCCCCCCCCAACCGATCACCATGGCGCGCTCCCACCCGCATATCACAGGTACAGTACCCACTCACATCCCAGCACAACCCCCCTCCCACCTCAAGCCCTAACTCAGAGCCCCCGAAAGCGCGATCCTTCGGCTACATCGACCCCAACATCCCCAACCCCAACGGGCCCAACGACACCTCCATCATCATCTACGGCTACACGCCCTCGCTCGCCCTGGCCGCCTTCGCGGCCACCTGGTTCTTCCTGCATCTGGTCGTGCACACCCTCCAAACCCACCGCCACCGCAGCTGGTGGTGGCTCCCCTTCTCGGTGGGCCTGGTCTTCGAGATCATCGGGTACATCGCGCGGGCGCTGTCCGCGCGCCAGGACCCCTACAACCTGATCTACTTCGTGCTCAACTACTTCTTCATCGTCACGGCGCCCGTGTTTCTGGCCGCCGGGATCTACACCATCCTGTCCGGGCTGATCCCCCGCCTCGGAAGGCAGTACGCCCTCCTCCCGCCGAGGGTGATCCTGTGGTTCTTCATCACCTCCGACGTCATCTCGACGGTCGTGCAGATCGCCGGCGCCGTGCTGGTCGGCGTGCGCGAGTCGCGCCAGCTGGATCCCTCGGTGGCCAATCAGATCCTGCTGGGGGGGCTGGCGTATCAGGTGTTCGCGATGACGGTGTTCATCGTCGTCGCGGCGGGGTTTTTGGTCCGCGCGAGGCGGGTGATTTGGACAATGAAGGGCAGGCGGAAGGGTGAGGGGCACGAGGGGACTGAGGGGCCCGCGTACGCGGTGTTCTGTGGGGTGTTTGGCCTGGCCACGCTGCTGGTGTATCTGCGCACGATCTTTCGGTTGGCGGAGACGGCCGAGGGGTTGGGCGCCACGCTGGCGACGCATGAGGTCTACTTTGCGTGCTTGGAGTTTGCGCCTATCGCTGCGGTGGTGTTGTTGTTTGCGGTCTGGCATCCGGGGAGGTTTGTGGGGGCGAAGGTTGGGGGCCCGGCGGGGTCGTTGAGGGTGAGGTCTTATGGGTTTTGATTTTTGGTGTCCTTGGTTCTGTTGGGGTAGGGGGGCTGGACGAGGTTCTGTCGCCGTTGTTTGAGTCTTCTGGAGCATGAGATGATGACGTCCGGCGATGTAACCGATTCGATTGTGGGCAATAATCTGTAGGATAGCTGGGCTGTCTACCTGGTGCTGCAGTACACGATTATCTATTGCAGTGTGGTGGGTTTCATGCCAACACGCCACTGGGCCATCACGGGACGCTGACGGTGGGGTTAAGTGCTTCGCATGGCATAGTACAGCGTATTCAAGCCAAGTATATCTACTTTGATTGATGCATAGATAATGAGGAATGACAAATTGTTGGGAAAGAGCTCTTTGTGCTCCCCATCGCTCAAACATCCCTGCGCTGACGGCGAGACTGTGTTTGTCTAATGCGATGTATGTTCAGGGATCCCCGCAATACGTCTTTTGCAGTATATGGCAGTTGGGAACCTGACGCACCGCACTGGAGACGCCATTGGGTTGTAATTCGACCAAAAGAGATCAATTCTCGCCTTCTGATGCCAAGATTCACTTCCGTGAAAGCTGGGGAGAGAGCCACAGCGGAACGGTATCTTCAGGTTTTCGCCACTCGCAAGGATTCAGCAAGCTTCGAGCAGAAGCAGATTACTGGTTGAGAGGAGGAGGAAGTGAGCGCCTGCTAGTATGGTCAAACAGAGTCACATTTCGAATAATATCACGGCCAGGCTGGAACCTTGGTGCAGGAAGCAGAATTCTGTTGTGTGGCATGATGACTACTGGTAAGTAAAGCTACTTCCATTAATAGAGACGAAGTCACGGCGAAAGACAATGAATGATACTTTTATACTATCGAGACTGCCCGTAACAGCTACCTGTCATTGCGGATGTTGCTCTCATAAGGTTTTGCATAATAGTACTTCGTCCTTGTGCTCTACATCCTGCAACAGATGTGGTTTCAATCCAGCTAGGGCAAGGTAGCCTTTGCTGCAAAACATCATTCCCCAACATCACTTGTTAGCTGTGCGCGGATCGCTAAGAACTGTCTCCCCTGCTCTATGCGGACTTGCTGCACTGGCGATAATTGCGACGTGATACACCACTCCGCATCCCCAACCGATGATCAGTTTTCTGGCGTTTTACCTAACAAGAGGCAGGTTTAAACCCCAAGGTCAGGCCATTGTGCTGCTGATCAGTGAAGACATAGCTGTGCCCGGGCCAGCCATTCGAGTTGACGTGCAGCCCGTTGAATCCGTGGGCGCTCTCCTTCAGGCGGAGCCGGACCGCGTCCCCCGTGGGCGAGCCCTTGAAGACCGCCAGCCGGCCCAGGTTGTCATTGGCGTAGGGCCAGAGCTGGCTCTGCGCCCCGAGATCCAAGAAGGCCAGGAAGGCGGGATGGCGCTGCGACTTCGGCGAGCCGTTCAGGTCCTTGAGATAGAACCCGTCGTCCTCCCTCACGGGGCCTCGGGACTCGCAGTCCGTGTTGCGACACACCTGGAACCGCCGCTGCATGCTGCCTTCCCTGAAGGTCAGCAATTGCCACGGCTGCGCCCAGGCGCCCCACGTGCTGTCCACGATCGGCCCGAGATCCGGGTGGAGGAGCTTGTAACATTGGCCGTAGTGGATTCCGAGGTGCCTGTCGTGGGCTGGGGTGGTATCCTGCTGCATCTGCGGCTCGGGGGCTGATGCGCCACAGGGAGGAGGGTCCTGGTCGAGCAGCGTCTGCTGAAGCGGGTCGAGGGTGTTGGGAAGGGTGAGAGCGCTCGAGGATAGGACCGTCAGGGAGATGAGGAGCATGGATCTGAAAGTCATCATCGCCGCTAGCTTCACTCTTTGCAGTTGATTGTTGAGATGCTTGGGTTTTAGTCCCGAGAGAAACACAGCAATGCTGGTTAGAGGGAGGAAAATCGTTGCCACGCTCCCTTGATTATGAATTCAGAGCACGAGTACGCCCGAGAGATGATTAGAAGTTCATTTATAGTGCGGGTCCTCGACTTCACCAAGATGTAATCCAGACCTAGTCTGATGATTCGACCTGCACGGGGAGGCATCTCGCTCGCATTGGCTGTGCTGAAAGACTCCGAGCGAACTGGAATCCTACCGCGGCCTTACAGAGTTTCAGAGCCGGGGAATGATTTCACGACTCTTGCTGCTTAGCCTTTTCTTGTCCTTGTTTCCGTAACTCTACTGGGAAGCACAGTTGCGGTTCCAGAGTTTGCATGTCCCTTGGTCACTTTTTGGTGTGAGGTAGAGCTCCGAGGGCCCGGTGTTCGCAGGACGGCCAACGCACCGTCGATACGAGCGTTGTTGGCTTGACAGAAGAAGTAGGCGATATTGTGGTTCTCCGCTTGTCATTATACTAGAGAGCTCTTCGAGAATATTACAGGTCAACGTCGTCTTGCCCTTGCCGGGATCGCCTGTGATCCACAAAAGATGGCCGCCAGCTGCAGATCTCCATCGTTGAAAGTCCGCATGGCTAAGCACCCAACGGTATAAAGTCGGAATAAGACCGTCCTTCTCTTCCTCGATTCGTTGTTTATCACGCCTCGGGTCAACGGTCCAAACTCTTGGAAGAGGATGGATCTCAGTCCTTACGACCTGGCTCAGTGGTCTGAACGGCTTACTCCCCTTTGAATCTCTGATTGGTTGTGGTAATGGTTGATTATCTCACAGACGTTCTGGCGACCCGAGGTCTAGCATTGGCACCGGTGAATGGTGTTGCTGAGTTCATTATGTCCGGGAAGATTCCGAAGGGGAGAGTAGAATTGGAGACACATATGAAACACATGTTTGAAACCAGTATGTGTAAATCCAAGGGTCACACCGGTCAGCTACCCAGCACCTCCTTTTTGTCAGGAGGGTTGATGAGAGGGTTGCAAAAGAAGATAAAAAAAAATAGAAATAAAAAAAATAAAAAGAGAAGCAAGGCTGCAAAAACATACAACAGAAGGGATTCGCTGGTGGTCACCCACCCAACTACTAACCTCCCGGCGTGTGGCTTAAGTACGGCTGAGCGGACGGGAAGCCCTGTTTTCCACACCCTGTGGTCGTATGTGCTGGCTACGTTTCATTCTTTAGGCTATATAGAATTTTATCTGTGAATCTGATAGTACTCTCTTATTATATTTAGTCTGAATCAAGTGTCCTCAGAGCACACGCGAACAGAAGAGAAGTAGATATGAAAGCCCGAGCACATGCATCTTTGCTGGCGACTGTATGTGCTAGGTTTTGACTTCTGCGGTACAATCTACATCGTTCTAGATAAACAGGAATTGATCCGCACATTGACCCTGGTCCCTCGGAAAGAATTCTCTGGAACATGTCTGGCTATAGATAGCCTACGAGTAAGGAGGGGTCGCGACTTTTCACTCATAAATGTATATCTTTTAGAGTCTACTGTTTGAGGAACCAATAGGTGGTTATCGGCATCCTTGTGAGGACCACCAACACATATATATATTAAATATCCTCTGTTAATTCGGCGACGTTGTAGCTGGTACATGCACTAACTCAGGAGCCTGGGGCTCTGGTAGAACACCAAAAAGCATTCTCTTCCATGCTAATTTAAGAGTCAGACTCAGCAGGTGTACAAGGTATTTACGCGTTAGGTCTACAAGTGACCCTATCTTAGATCAAGGACGACGAAAATGAAATGCGGACACTGCGGCCACGTGAGACTCACTTGCCACGTTGAAATTGATTCCTAAAAGAAGAAAAAACAAAGAAAATATTACTCCATTTACTTCGAACCCTTCATCACCAAAACTTGCTCATCGCTTTCCCGACAAGCGTCCGCCTTGATCTGTAGATAGGGACTCATCTCGAGATCGGGCTCGGGAGTCCGAGTGCCACGACCGGCGGAACTTCGCGTGGAATTCTGGGTGGGATACTTGGATCGAACCGAGGTCAATCGGCCACGGTTGGTGACGAGACGAAGCAGCGGACGGTAACACGGCAAACAGGCGGCAATGAGATAGACGCCCGCTTCGACCACGCTCCACAGAAGAAAGGTGACGGAGATCCAGGTGCCGTCGGTCAAGGGATTGTTGGTGAAGAAGGCGACGCATCGACAGATCGAGGTTACCATGCCACTGATCATGTTATTAGCTCGGGCCGGGGTTGAGAACCCTGGAGAGTGAGGGGGGAGGGGGGAGGGGGGAGGGGAAAGATTGGCGGCTTACATGCTACCCGTGAGGAAAGTCACGGCCAGGCCGTACTTCACTTGTGATGGAACCTGCAGTCGCCAGACCACCGGCTGCGGCAGGATGAGCATCGCGAGGTCGATGATGACATTGGGTAAGGTGCCCCAGCGATAGAAGACCGGAATGTTGTCACATTTCCCACCGGCAATGGTCTTGTCCCAGAGATACGCCACCGGCCAGCACTCAAAGGCCCCCGCCATGATATCGGCGATGGCGAAGGCCACGATAAAGGCCATCAAGCTGTAGCAGGCCACCCGATAGGGGCGATTCTTCTCACAGATCCGGAGGTAGAGCGTCAGAAGGATGACACGGGGAAAACAACAACCGGCCGAATAGATGATCGGAGTGGCATAGAGACATTTGGCCCATGGGACTAGGGCTTGAGGGTCAACGGTCTCGACAACATCCAGATGGTAGCCAACCCGACCGATGTCTATAGCCACTGTGGTGGTGTGAACAAAGATTAGGGATCTGGATAACCTTAAACAAAGTGAAGAGAACAGTACAACATCTTACGTACCCAGGGAGAGGATACAGAGTCCGACACAAGATAGGTATCCGGGAATCGTGAGAATATCATCAATGCCCAGCCGTTTCTCACTTAATCTCATGGCTGCGAAACGCAACGCCACGGCTAACGTTTCCAGCACGATAAAAACGATTGCCACATCCCGCAGTGTGTCGCCGGAATATTCTCTCATGCGCTCAGGACTAATGGACGCAGCCATTGTGGGTGGTCTTGCTTTTGGTCGTTATGAGATTAAGCACTCCCCGATATCAGAAAGCAGGGAAAGAAAGCTGCAGCGGGGCAACGGGATTACCCAGACTACTAGAATCCTCCCGGAGCATCTGGCATTCTTAAGTTACTCTAGATAGAGAGAAAGAGGGGGGAGAGGGGGGGGGTGCGTGTGTATTAGAAGGGGGGCGGGTGACGTTACATACACACACACACACACACACACACACACACACACACACTACCATACTGGTGTACTCCACTGTACTGTACAATACACTTGTTGGAGCATGGGGGCGGGAACGGGAAAGTTGGCTTACGGCATAAGCCCTAAGCATGTGGGATGTGAGGGGAACACTGTTAGTGCTGACATAGTTGCAGATATATCTGCACATGTGCGCATTACTTACTACCTTTAGCTTAGTCTTGCCATTCAGTTATAGTTATTTCAGTCAATTTATACCCGAGCTTTTCTCCTCCCGCCTTTCCGCCCCTTCCCGCTTGCCCAATTAATTGTACCTGCGGTAACTTACAGTAGTTGCAAGTTCCTTCCTTCCTTCATCACCACCATTCACCATCTCTCCCTCTTTACGCAAGTATCATCCTCTCCACCACCATGTCCAGCGAGAATTTCAATATCATCGAGCATGTCATTCCAGGTTGTCACATTCGGGAGTATCCCGGAAGTACGGTCAATCAGGAAGATGTTTTGCAGCTACATATCAAACAGTATACCCCCAAGAACCAAGCCCAGCCGGTGCCGAATGATGCTGTCACAATCATTGCCGCTCACGGAGCCGCTCTTCCTAAGGTATAGTATAGTACTGTCGCCCCCAAGTTTGGCCCATTGCCCTTTTCCTTTTCGCACGTCAAGGCAGAATGGCTCCCAACATGGAAGGCTGACTGATATGCCTGAGTAGGAACTGTATGAGCCGTTATGGGATGAAATTTTGGATCAAGCCACCAACTTTCAGATCCGTAGTATCTGGGTCGCCGACTGCGCCAGTATGAATATGAGCGGCATCTTGAATGAGGACAAACTCAGCACGGACTGTAAGCCGTTGATCCCTCTTATCTACACATGTGTACACAGGAACTAAAAGTTCATCAATGCCAGGTTCCTGGATGGACCATTCGAGAGATCTCTTCCTGATGATCAACCACTTTCGCGAGCAAATGCCGCGTCCGATCGTTGGGGTCGGACACAGCTTCGGTGGGAATATCATGTCCGACCTCCTCCTCCTCCTCTTCCCCCCTTCACAGCCCCCTACCTATACTGGGCCCGTAATACATTGACTAACTCTCATCTCTTTTGTTTCTTGGTTCCAACAGGACCAATCTCGCGTATCTACACCCGCGCCTTCTTACCACACTCTTACTGATTGACCCCGTGATCCAATTAACCCCACCGGCGATGGGGTTCGGCACTGACGCCACCGGGCCGATCAACTACACGCTGCATCGCCAGGATGTCTGGCCTAGCCGGGAGGCAGCTCTCCGTGCCAATCGTGCGTTGACGTATGGCTGGGATCCTCGCTGCGTGGCTCGCATGGCTCAATATGGGTTCCGCCAGCTTCCCACCGCGCTGTATCCCGACGTAGAGGCTGTGAAAATGGGGTTCGAAAGTACAACAACATCTGCATCCTCTTCCGCCCGTCCCCTACAAGACCCACCCTCACCCACCACAGCCCCCGTGACCCTTACAACAAGCAAGTACCACGACCTCCTGGCCCAGATCCGAGAGAACTTCAGCGCCCGATTGCCCGATGGCCGGATCGCCGCCTCGCGCGCTACACACGCGGACCTCGACCCGCTCGCCGCCTTCATCCCGCTGTATCGCCCCGAGCCCCGGAGTGTCTTTCTCCGGCTGCCAACTCTACGGCCATCGTGTCTGTGGGTTCTGGGTGGAACCACGTACCTGAAGCTCGACGAGATCCGCGAGGGAATTAAGACGTGCGGGACCGGCGTCGGAGGAAGCGGGGGGATTCCCGAGAGGAGGGTCCAGGAGGTCACGTTACCGGGACTGGGCCATCTGATGCCGTTTCAGGCCGTCAAACAGGTTGCGGAGCCCTGTGTGGCGTGGCTGGAGTCCGAGATGGAGCGTTTCCGCGAGGCGGAGAGGCTATGGGCGGAGGGGCGGAAGGGGAAAAGTCATCTCGCCTTGGAAGAGACCTGGTATCGAGTGCTGAAGCCGTTGACAGTTCCAGGTGGGAAGGGAAAGGAAAAGGAAAAGGAAAAGGGAGAAGGCCGGAAAGCTAGAAAGGACAAGCTGTAGTACCTTGCACTATAGATCGGTTCGGAGGACTCGTGGCAATAACGGGTCCCGTAAGGATTCTCTAATATCCTACCAAGTAGGATTCAAGGTTATTTGCTCTCGTCATGCACCCTTCCGTTGGTAATTTGTGCGTTCTCGCCAATCATAATCATCATCTGGCATCATTTGCCAACCACAATGGCCCCCAACCGATTACCCCTCCGCTTGATGGCTACTAGGACTAAGTTACTACCAGGTACTAGTTCACAGGTAGCTACCTTAGCCTCAGTGAGATTGCTGACAGAGTAACTTACGGAGCTAGCTGATCATTCGACAGCCAGGAACATGACAAATCGATGCAGTTTGAAGTGACAAGGCAGACACAAGGCGGGGGAGGCAATCATCCCGTGCGGTGGTCCGTCGGCGACCCCGGGAAAGAAGGAAGCCCTAAGTTACAACATCCAGCACACAGCACACAGCACACAGCACACAGCACACGATGACATTTTTAGATGCAGAGCAAATCGTAGTCCATCGGAGTACCACACTCCCATACCAGCCCATCCAACTAAGCCCCCTCCCGTCTCCGGAATTCCAAGATGGGGCCTTCCTTGCCCACAATGAAATTATCCTTCATCTTGTACTCGCCTTCGTGGCCGACCCCCAGATGCTCCATCCCCGGGGTTAACCGCAGATCATACAGCCAGAGCACGCGCGCGACGCTGACCTCCAACTCGAGCATGGCCACGTTGCGACCGATGCAGGCCCGCGGGCCGATGCTGAAGGGGGCAAAGGCGGCGCGTTGGCGCGCCATGACCGCGGGCGAGACGCCCTCGGCGTCGGAGTCGGCGGTCTCACTGCCGCGCAGCACCCAGCGACTGGGGTCGTAGACGAAGGGCCGGTCGAAGTGGGCGGGGGAGTGATGCAGCGCATACGTGGGGACGCCGACGATGGTGCCGGCGGGGAAGTGCCACTCGAGCACGCGCAGCCCGCCGGGGAGGACCTCGCGCGGCAGGTCCATGGGCACGGGCGGGCAGAGGCGCATGCTCTCCTCGATGCAGGCGCGCAGGTAGCCCATCTGGCCGGCGGCGAGGCCCGGGCCGGCGACGATGGCCTCCAGGGTGGGGAAGTGCGCGCGCACCCGGTCCGTCAGGCGCGCGCGCACGGCCGGGTGGTGGGCCAGGAAGTACCAGGTCGCGGCCAGCGCCGTGTTGGCGGTCTCGGCCCCGGCGCCCAGGAGCAGCGTCGACTCGCTGATCAGCTCCTGCGTCGAGTACCCTTCCCCGGTCTCCGGGTCGCGCGCCTGCTGCAGGTAGTAGATGATGTCGCGCCGCGCCGTGGACGGCGTGGCCGCCAGCCGCGCCGTCAGCTGCTGCCGCGAGAAGGCGATCTGGCGCTCGCGGTCCGCCGCCGTGCCCATGCGCAGGTACTGGTCGAACCCGATCCGCCGCAGCCACGGCATCTGCCCGCAGATGTTCAGGATCCGCACGTTCAGCGCCATCATCCGGAAGAAGAAGGTGTTCTCGTCGCTGATCGTCGTGTCGAACGTCTTCCCGAAGCAGATCTCCCCCAGCGCGTCGAAGATCAGGCACGCGCTCATGTGCACCATGTCCTTTGGCCGGGACCAGCCGCTGCTGCTGCTGCTTTTCTGGGTCTGGCTGCTATGCTGGTCCCCCAACGCCAGGCACCACTCGCGGATCGCGGTCAGAATGTGCGGTTCCATCCCCCGCAGGGCCTGGTCCGAGAACGCCTGCGACATGACACGGCGCTTGCGCGCGTGCACGTTGCGGTCGATGGCGTTGAAGATGCTGACGCTGTAGAAACTGTGGTACCACTGCGACTTCTGCACGTTGGCCTGGTGGCCGTAGATGGGCTCCAGCGCTCGGGCATCCAGGATCGTGACCCGGTTGGGCCCGATCCGGACGATGCGGCCATGGCGCTGGTGCAGTCGATACAGGTCCTCGTGCCGGTCCCCGCGTACGGCGTGCAGCACCGAGTACAGGTCGGTCAGTTTGGCGAGGAAGGGACCGGGATAGGCTGCCAGGGGGTGAAACCAGACTTGGTAGATCACGTAGCTCAGACCCTAGATTTAGATCGGTGTGTGTGTCAGTATGCGTGGGGGAGAATTGAGAGGGGGAGGGGGAAGGGGGGAAAGGGGAGATCGGGGGACTTAGGGCATCAGATTGACCCACGGCAGCAGAGAGAATGGCAGCAAGTAGCTTGCTGAGCGAGATGGCGCCCAGAGCCGACTGAAGAATATGGTCGAGCATACTGGAAGACACGAGGCTGACGATGTTGGGACGGAATTGCTGATGCAGTTGGCAAGCACAGTCAATTTAAAACCTTTGTGATATTTGTGTC